TACAAAAAGTTTCCTGCAATATACGTATATATAATATACATATAACATATATATAATATATGGCATGTATACTAGTATATATGTAACTAGACACACATACAATAAAGGACAAGTAACTAGAAAGAAAACCTTCAAATTAAAAAAAAATGGGTAAATGCTTCAACAGATGCCCTCATTAAAAATATCTAAAGAGCCAATAAGCACATAAAGAAGTATTCAATATCATTACATGTCAATACAAATTACAACCAAAACAAAAAACCAGCACCCATTTATGATAAAAATCCTCAGCAAAGGGACAAAAGAGGAACCATACTTCAACATAGTAAAAGTCATATATGAAAAACCTAGAGCCATCATACTCAGTGGGCAAAATCTAAAAGCATTTCCCTTAATATTGGGAACAAGACAGGGATGTCTGCTTTTACCACTCTTATTCAACATAGTATTGGAAGTCCTAGGCACAACGATCAGACAAGAAGACATCCAAATTGGAAAGGAGGAAGTAAAACTGTCATTATTTGCAGATGACATGATAGTGTACATAGAAAACCTTAAAGATTCCACCAAAAAACTACTAGATCTAATAAATGAATGCAGCAAAGTAGCAGGATACAAAATTAATATTCAGAAATTGGTAACATTTTTATTTTATTTTAATCTTCACCCAATCATTTATTGATTTTAGAGAGGGAGGACGGGAAGAAAGAGAAATATCGATGTGAGAGAAACATCGATCAATTGCCTACCATATGTGCCCGAAAGGGGGATTGAACCCACAACCTAGGCATGTGCCCTGACCAGGAATCGAATACATACCTTTTGTATGGGACGATACTCCAACCAACTGAGCCACCTGGACAGTAGCCTTTTTATACAGCAACTGGAGGCCCAATGCACAAAAATTCATGCAAGAGTAGGCCTTCCTTCCCCCTGCTACCAGCACCAGCTTCCCTCCAGCACCCGGGACCCGGCGGCTTCCCTATAGCCACCAGGAGGCACCCAGAACCCAGGCTTCACTCCAGCCCCGGCTTCCAGCCATCCAGTCTAATTAGCATATTACCCTTTTATTATTATAGATAATGAACTATCAGAATGAGAAACTAAGAAAACAATCCCATTTAATATTGCAACAAAAAACGTTAGGTACCCAGAAATAAACTTAACCAATGAGAAAAAAAAACCTGTACATGGACTGGAAGAATTAACATCATTAAAATGTCCATACTACCAAAGCAATCTGTAGATTCAATGCAATTCCTATTAAAATACCAACTCATATTTCACAGACTTAGAACAAATATTTCAAAAATGTACATGGAACCAAAAAAAAGGCCCCAAATAGCATCAGCATTCTTAAGAAAGAACAAAGCTGGAGGGATCACAACACCAAATAATATACTACAAGGCCACTGTCATCAAAACAGCCTGATACTGGCACAAGGACAGGCATACAGACCAATGGAACAGAACAGAGCCCAGAAATCAACCCACATCTCAATGGTTAATTCATATTTGACAAAGGAGGCAAGAACATACAATGGAGTAAAGACAGTCTCTTCCATAAATGATGTTGGGAAAATTGGACAGGTATATGAAAAAAAAAAATGAAACTAGGCTACCAATTTACACCATATACAAGAATAAATTCAAAGTGGATAGAAAACTTAAAATTAAGTTGCAAAACCATAAAAATCCTAGAAGAACATAGGCAGTAAAATTTCAGACAATTCATATAGCAGTATTTTCACCTATACATCTCCTAGGACAAGAGAAACAAAGGAAAATATAAACAAATGGGACTACATCAAACTAAAAAGCTTCAGCACAGCAAAAGAAACTACAACAAAATAAAAAGGGAACCCACTGTATGGTAGAACATATTTGCCAATAATACATCTGATAAAGGGTTAATTTCCAATATCTATGAAGAACTTATACAACTCAACACCAAGAAGACAAACAATTTGATTAAAAAATGGGCAAAGAACGTGAATGGACACTTCTCCAGAGGACATACAGATGACCAATAGACATATGAAAAAATGTTCATCCTCCCTAATCTTCAGAGAGAAGCAAATTAAAACTACAATGAGGTATTACCTCACACCTGCCAAAATGGCTGCCAACAATAAATCAACAAACAACTAGTTCTGGTGAGGATGTGGAGAAAAGAAAAACCTGGTACACTGCTAGTGGGAATGCAGACTGGTACAGCCACTGTGGGAAACAGTATAGAGTTTCCTCAAAAAATTAAAAATAGAACTGCCTTTTGACCCAGTGATCCCACTTCTGGGAATATATCCTAAGAATCTCAAAACACCAATCAGAAAAGACATATGCACCCCTATGTTCACAGCAGTGTTATTTACAATAGCCAAGGTCTGGAAAGTGCCCATCAGGAGTGGATAAAAAAGCTGTGGTATCCCTGACCAGTTTGGCTCAGTTGATTGGACATCAACTCATGCACCAAAGGGTTGCCAGTTCAATTCCTGGTCAGGACACATGCCCAGGTTGTAGGCACCGTCCTTGATGGCGAAGGGGGCAGGGGGCATGTGCAGGAGGCAGTTGATCCATGTTTCTCTCTCACATTGATGTTTCTTTCTCTTTTTCCCTCTCCCTTCCTCTCTCTACAAATCAATTTTTAAAAATCTTTTTTTAAAAAGCTGTTACATTTACACAATGGAATACTATGTAGCCGTAAAAAAGAGAAAACTCTTACTTTTTGCAATAGCATGGATGGACCTGGAAATTATTATTCTAAGTGAAATAAGCCAGACAGAGAAAGACAAATACCATATGATCTCACTTATATGTGGAATCTAATGAACAAAATAAACTGATGAACAAAATAGAACCAGAGGCATGGATACATGGAACAAATTGACAGCTGTCAGAGGGAACAGGTAGGGGGACTGGATGAAAGAATATATATGCATAACCCATGGACACAGACAACAGTGTGGCGATGGCCAGAGGGAGGGGGGTGGGGGCTGGATGGAAGTGGGTAAATGGGGGCAGGTGGGGGGAATGGAGGACATCTGTAATATTGTCAACAATTTTAAAAAGAAAGAAAAAAAGATATTACCATATCTTTCTAAAATTAGAAAGTGCTGGCCAGATATTTGGAACAATTAGAATTTTCATGCATTGATTTTACAATTATAGGTGGAATAAGCATATTTGAAAAAGCGGAATACCTACCAAACTAAACATGAAGTCTACCCTTTGGTTTACTAATCTTATTTTCACTTACAAAGCATTTACCAAGAGAAATAAGGGTAAGTCTGCCAAAAGAACAATTAAAAGGCAAAGAGACATTATGTTGAGAAAAGCCAAACACATAACTATACATATTGTATTTTAACATATATGTAAAGATCAAGAATAAGCAATCCTAATAAATTGTAATAAAAGTCAAAATTGTGGTTGCTCTTCTTGTTTTGAGATCACAATGAACTTACATAGACGTATCAGCAGAGTGACATAATGGGATTGGACTATAGAGATAACAGTGCTGCTCCAAACTGGGGCCAACTCTATATAATCAATTGATGTGCCAATTGGGGGACTGTAATAAATCAGCAAAATGATAATGCTAAAACTTGCCAAAAAATCTAAGAGACTGTATACAGCCATGATAGAGAAATTTACAGAGATGTTCGTAGAACTGCTGCTTGTAAGGAAACTTAAGCACTTACTATTCCATTTGAACCAATATGGATTGGTAAGACCAATAATTAGGAAAATGACTGGAAATTAGAGCCCACAGGCACCTATGCATCTGTCTCCCTGTCTCATGGTCCTAGTAAACTAAATATAAGGGATTCTATTCTCTGCCTTCTAATTCTCAAACTATTTTAGACAACTCTAACCTGGAACTGTATAAGGAAGTGATTCTGGGAAATGAAGTCCCAGCCATGCCCAAATTAACACACAGAAGCCAGCCCAACCAGCTTTACTTCTTGTTTTCTTGTCACAAGATCTTTTTACTCTGAAAACACTGGGTCCAATTCCCAGCCATGAGCAAGGCCAAAGAACAAAACACAAAAACTACATATCAGATGAGACACTTCTTTCAAGACCTTCACACTTATTAATTTCTGCTGAAATTACTTATTAGACAGAAAAAGCTTTGAGTAGTAAAAACTGATAACTTCAAAAACAGTAGTTTCTTAGTAAAAAGGGGGAAAATATTGAGTAGGCAATTTCCAGTATCTGTTGTACTAGATCAAAATGAAATTACCAATTACAAAAGAAAGTTACAAAAGAAATTACAAATACAAGAGTCCATACCATAATCACTGCACACTTAGAGAGCAATGAGAGTTTATCAGAAACTAATTTTTTTTAAAAAAGGACCACTCTTGCCTGCATGTGAAAAAATACACTTTAAGACTTAGTAATGGAAATAACATTTACATCTGAACCAAAATATAAGCACCTCAGAATAAAACATATTAGAGCTCAAAGGTATTGGAGGGAAATTTATCACCCTAAATATTCATTTCAGAAAATTAAAACCAGAACCCTGGCCAGGTAGCTCAGCTGGTTAGAACACTGTCCTGATACCTCAAGGTTGTGGGTTCAATCCCGTTAGGGTACCTACAAGAATCAACTAATGGATGCATAAATAAATGGAACAACAAATTGATCTCTCTCTCTCTCTCTCAAATCAATATTTCCCTGTTCCTTCCTCTCTCTAAAATCAATAAATAAATTTAAATTTGTTTAAAATTAAGTAACTAAAAACCAGAATCATTGAGCCAACATTCCACTTTAAGGATAAGATACTGGCCGAAACCGGTTTGGCTCAGTGGATAGAGCGTCGGCCTGCGGACTGAAAGGTCCCAGGTTCGATTCCGGTCAAGGGCATGTACCTGGGTTGCAAGCACATCCCCGGTGGGAGATGTGCAGGAGGCAGCTGATTGATGTTTCTCTCTCATCGATGTTTCTAACTCTCTATCCCTCTCCCTTCCTCTCTGCAAAAAATCAATAAAATATATTTTAAAAAAAAAAGGATAAGATACTGATCTTTGCTTCTAGTATAAATTTTCTTATAGACTTATTTCTTATGAATTTTGACCAATAAAATGTGATATTCACGAAGGTGTTACCACATGGTTTACATACAAAGGGTTTCACTCAGTTGTAAATTCTCAAGACTTCATAAAGATAAGCGACAATTTCCTTTCTTAGTAAGAGGATGTCTCCACAGTGTGAGATCTCACATGTTGCCTAAGATTTGAAAAGCTTTGCAGACATTCCCATACTGCTTACATTTATGTTTTCTCTAGTGTGAGTTTTTACATGTCTTCGAAAGTAGGCAGGGCAAACAAAGGCTTTCCCACATTCCTTACATTCATATGGTTTCTCTCCAGTGTGGCTTCTTACATGTCTTCGAAAGGATGAGGGACAACTGAAGGCTTTCCCACATTCCAGACACTCAAATGGTTTCTCTCCAGTGTGCATTCTGGCATGTACAGTTAGGTATGAAGAATGACGAAAGGCTTTCCCACATTCCTTACATTCATAGGGTTTCTCCCCAGTGTGCGTTCTCATATGAATCCTAAGAGCTGAAGGATAAATAAAGGCTTTTCCACATTTCTTACATTCATAAGGTTTCTCTCCAGTGTGAGTTCTTACATGTACTGTAAGGTGGGAGGAACTAATAAAGGCTTTCCCACATTCCTTACATTCATAAGGCTTCTCTCCACTGTGAGTTCTCAAGTGTTCAGTGAGGGATGAGGAACGACTAAAGGCCTTCCCACATTCCTTGCATTCATATTGTATCTTTCCAATGTGATCTCTCACGTGTGCTCTAAAGGATGAGGGACAACTAAAGGCTTTTCCACATTCCTTACATTCATAAGGTTTCTCTCTACTTTGATTTTTCACATGGGTATTCAGGGACGTTAGAAGATAGAAGGCTTTTCCACATTCCAGACATTCATAGGGTTTCTCTCCAGTATGTTTTCTCATATGGATACTTAAGGAGGAGGGACAATTGTAGGCCTTCCCACATTCCTTACATTTATAGGGTTTCTCTCCTGTATGTGTTCTGACATGTACAGTGAGTTTTGAGGACTCACTGAAGGCCTTTCCACACTCTTTACATTCGTAAGGCTTCTCTCCAGTATGAATTCTTATATGTATTATAAGGTGAGAGGAAGAACTAAAGGCCTTCCCACATTCCTTACATTCATATGGCTTATCTCCACTATGGATTCTTTTGTGTTTGGAGAGTGAGGAGGAGCAACTAAAGGCCTTCCCACATTCCTTACATTCATAAGGCTTATCTCCACTATGGATTCTTCTGTGTTCTGTGAGGGATGAAGAACAGCTAAAGTTTTTTCCACATTCCTCACATTCATAGTTTGTCTTTCCAGTGTGAATCTTCATATGTGCCCTAAAGAATGAAGAACAGCCGAAGGCTTTGGTACACTCCTTACATTCATAGGGTTTCTCTTCTGTGGGAGTTTTCATATGCTTCTTGAAACAAGCGAGAAAATGGAAAGCTTTCCCACATTCCTTACACTGATAGGGTTTGCTTCCAGTGTGAGAGCCGATATGATCCTTAAGGGATAAATGATCCGTGAAGACCTTTTTACATTCATGGCATTCATAGGATTTTATCTCAGTAGTTCTTTTGGCCATATTAAGATTTGAAATTTGGCTGAAGGTTTGTCCACATTGATTTTCTTCGTTACGTTCATAGATGTCCTCCACCACATTACTTCTTTCAAAAATAAAAAGCACATTATTAGTAATAAATACATTTTTGCCATTTTCAGTAACTATGTATGTTTTTTGCCCTGTCAAGTTATATGCTGAAAGTTCTCAGAGAGGGCTCAACAATAGCCAATATTTATCACTGAATTTTTGACTAATCGGATTTTTCTCATAATTGCTTACAACTGTCAAATATTGAAGATCTGTCTCATTTGTGGGGGGGGAAAATATCTTGTGAAAATTCTTTAGGCAATCACAATTTTTGACCAAGTTTTATGTACATGGTTTTTAAATGTCATGACATTTTAAGATTCTCCTCTGAGGTACCACTTTCTTTTATGTGAATGGCACTCACCTCAAATGTCTCTTGGGGTTTTTGTTTTTATAATCAATGCAATGGTATTCCCAGTTTTTGTATAAAATGGATGACCAGGAATCATCCTTTTTCAATTTTTCTTTTCTCTGTTGATTGGATGCTTTTTCTCCATAAACATCTTGCAAAGTGACTGATTCATTACTTTTAAGTTGAGTCTCCAAACCTGAAACAAAAGGTAAAGGTAATTATGAGCAAAGGGCTTTTGGCACTAAGGCTGTTTCAAGACTTTGGTAATAAGCTCAGGGTCAATATGTTAAACAACTGACTAAGAGATAATTCCATGAAGATTGAGACTGATGGTAATATGAATAGGGTATTATTAGAATAAAACAAAAAGGAACTGGATAAAATGTACATGACCAAATACTAACTTACAAAGAGGAAAGTCTTTTCCAAAAACAAAGAAAGTGTGAGAGGACTAATAAAATGTCATAACAGTAATCAATGGTATCTGTGAAAAATCTGCCTCTCAGACAAAAGTTTCATTTTGCTTTTATTTTATGTTTCCAAATGTAATATCCCCCAACCGGGACAATTTCTCACAAGAATTCTTGCCTTCCTGGTGCTCCCCATGGATAGTCCCTCTCTTTGTTATCTCCCGGTCCTCCTCTTGTTTCCACTGGAAGATCAGACAGGGTGTATGTAGTGGATAACCTATTAATGCAGAAAGACATATCACATGAAAGAAAACAATGAGGAACCATAAACATTTCCATGAGACAAAGCAAAACTTTGGTCTTCTGATATTATAAAGATGGGGCAAGTGTGAATTTAATTGCAACAAAATGTTTGTCCAAAAAAATTTTTAAGGGGAGGAGGAGTTGTAACATAGCTTCTGATGTCTAGAACTGATCTTTCATATCTAATCCTCAGTATTACTAGAAGTTGGTCTGATACTTACAGCCAGGATATTTTGTTCTCCTGCTGAACACAAATAATCTCACAGAATACCAATCTTAGACAAGGTTAGTCTGATACCATTGTAAAATGAAATAAGACCATTTTAAAATTTAGTCTAAGTACAGGAAAAAATTTAGTCTAAGGACAGGCACTATGCCACCCACAAAATACCCAATAATAGAATTTTCCCCACTTTCTATTAGCATCCAATCTACCCAAGTGAGTTCAATCCAAGTGGGTTGAACAGTGTCCACCCAAAATCCATATCCAGCCCTGGCCAGTGTGGCTCAGCAGTTGGAACATCGGCCCATGCATCGAAGGGTCATGGGTTCAATTCCTGGTCAAGGGAACGTACCTGGGTTTCAAGTTTGCTCCCACCCCATATGGGAAGCAACCAGTCAATGTGTCTCTCTTACATTCTCTCCCTCTCCCTCTCTCCCTCTTTCTCTCTCTCCCCCCCCCCCCCAATGCTGTCTCTGGGTCTTTTCCACTCTCGCAGCTTCCCACCCTGTCTCTGCGCTCTCTCTCTCAGTCTCTCTCTCTCTCTCCCACTACCTTCCATCCTTCCACTCTCTCTGAAAAAAAGCAATGAAAAAAATATCCTCATGTGAAAATTAACCACAAAAAACTATTTTTAATCCATGTCTAAATAGATTAATGAAACAGAATAGAGTTCAAAAATAGGTCCATAAAAATAGTCAACCCATTTTTTAAAAAAGGAACAAAGGCAATACAATGGAGAAAAAAAATATTCTTTTTAACAAAGACTAGAACTAGATATTAACATCCAAAAAAATGAATCTAGACACAAACCTTATACTCTTCACAAAATTTGATTTTACAGACCTAAATTTACAATGTAAAACTATAAAACTCTTAAAATAGGAGAAAAATCTAGATGACCTAGGGCTTGACAATGACTTGCTAGATACAATACCAAAGGCATCATCTACAAAAGGAAGAATTGGTAAGGGCACATACCCAGGTTGTGGGCTCAGTCTCCAGTAGGGGGCGTGCAGGAGGCAGCCGATCAATGATTCTTTCTCATCATTGATGTTTCTATTTCTCTCTCTCCCTCTTCCTTCCTCTCCGAAATCAATAAAAATATATTCTTTTAAAAAATAGTTAAAAAAAAAACAACAACGAGATACCACCATACACCTATGAGAATGGCCAAAATCTGGAACACTGACAACACCAAATGATGATTAGGATGTGGAGCAACAGGAATTCTCATTCATTGCTGGTGAGAATGCAATATGGTGCAGCCACCTTGGAAGACAGGCTGGGTTTTTTTATAAAACTAAACATAACATTCCCATAGAACAGACAATCCTGCTCTTTTGAATTTACCCAAATGAGTTGAAAACATGTGCAAACAAAACTTGCACACACATTTACAGAAGCTTTATTCATAATTGCCAAAAATTGGAAGCAGTAAAGATGCCCTTCTGTAGGTGAATGGATAAATAGATGGTGGTACATCAAGACAATGGAATATTATATTCAGTGCTAAGAAGAAATGAACTGTCAAGACATAAAAGAACTTTAAATGCATGTTACTAACTGAAAAAAGCTAATGTGAAAAGGCTACATACACATACTGTATAATTCCAAATACATGACCTTCTCAAAAAGAAAAAACTATGGACATAGTAAAAACATCCATACTTGCCAGGGGTTAAAAGGGAAGAAGGGATGAATCGATGGGGCACAGAGGATTTAGGACAGTAAAACTACTCTGTATGATATTATGACAGTGGGTATGTCATTATGTTTGTCCAAACCATAGAAGGTACAACACCAAGAGTGAAGCCTGATGTAAACTATGGACTCAGGTGATGAGGATATGTCAATGTAGGTTCATCAATTGTAACAAATAACCCACTCTGATGGGGGATGTTGTGCATGTGTAAGGGTAAAGGGGTATATGGGAAATCTCTATACCTTCTGTTCAATTTTGCTGTGAGCCTAAAACTGCTCTAAAAGTAAATAAATGTTTGGGTTTTGTTTTTTTGTTTTAATTCATGTGCTGAACCTCAGAATGCTTCCTTATTTGGAAATAGGGTCATTGCAGATATAATCATGTTAAGCTGAAATTATACTGGAGTAGGGTGGGCCCTAAATCAAATAACTAGTGTCCTTATACAAAGGGAGGGACTTAGAGACAGAGAGAAGACAGAGGCAGAGATTGGAGAAATGTATCTGCAAGTCAAGAACACCAAGGATTTATTTCTCGCCACCACCAGAAGCCAGGAAGAGACAGGCAGGATTTTTTCCAAAAAGCTTTCAGAAGGAGCAAGGCCCTCTGACACCTTGATTTTGGACCTCCAGATCCAGAAATGTGAAAGAATAGGTTTCTTTTGTTTTTAGTCATCCAGTTTGTAGTATTTTGTTACAAAAGGCCCAGTAAATTAATACAGCCTGCTTGCATAGACACATCCCCAAATCACTAAAAGTTCAAATCCTATCATATGTACTTTCTAAAACCCTCTTACTATGACACCCACAGCTCCTATGTCATGTGTTCTCCCTTGCTGCACTGAAGTAATTAACCCAACTTGTTTAACATTGGGTTAATTATGTTGCTGGTGGTCTTTTAGTAAAGGGCATTGATGGCAGCCAATTCTCAAAAGGTCCCAAACCATAAACCTCCCTGGGTCCCTAAGAGACCCCTCAAATTATATATATTTATTTTAGAGGTCTGGTGCACGAAATTCATGCACTGGGGGGAGGGGGTGTCCCTCAGCCCAGCCTGCACCCTCTCCAATCTGGGACCCCTCGGGGGATATCCAACTGCCGGTTTAGGCCCGATCTCACAATCCGGGACTGCTGGCTCCCAACTGCTCACCTGCCTGCCAGCCTGATCACCCCCTAACCACTCCCCTGCCAGCCTGATCAACACCTAACTGCTCCCCTGCCAGCCCAATTGCCCCCAACTGCCCTCCCCTGCTGGCCCAGTCGTCCCCAACTGCCCTCCCCTGCAGGCCTGGCCACCCCCAACTGCCCTCTCCTGCAGGCCTGGCCGCCCCCAACTGCCCTCCCCTGCAGGCCTGGTTGCCCCCAACTGCCCTCCCCTGAAGGCCTGGTTGCCTCCAACTGCCCTCCCCTGCTGGTGTGATCACCCCTAACTGCCCTCCCCTGCTGGCCATCTTGTGACCACCTGGGGGTGGTCATCTTTGACCACATGGGGGCAGCCATCTTGTGCGAGGGTGTGATGGTCAATTTGCATATTGCCTCTTTATTATATAGTATTAGAGGCCCGGTGCACATTCATGCACAGGTAGGATCCCTAGGCCTGGCCAGTGATCAGGGTTGTCGGGGCCTTCCAGCTGCTGGTCAGGGCCTTCCTTTGTTCCATGCCGCCCCCTGGTGGTCAGCGCACATGATAGCAAGCAAACTCCCAGTCTCCCAGTTGAACTCCCGAGGGACACTTGGCATATTAGCCACATATATAATTAATTGATTTCAGAGAGGAAGGGAGAGGGAGAGAGAGATAGAAACATCAATGATGAGAGAGAATCATTGATTGGTTGCCTCCTGCACGAGCCCCATTGGGCATGTGCCTTTGACTAGAATCGAACCCTGGACCCTTTAGTCTGCAGGGCGACACTCTATCCACTGAGCAAACCAGTTAGGCATGCCCACACTTTCAACCACAATAAAAAGTCAGTTCAGCACACAGATGTTTATTTTCATGGTGAAGCCCCTAGACTACAAGTTCCTTGGGGTCAGTGACCATGTCTGTCTTATTCATCAATGTATTCCAATTCTTCAGCCCAAATCCTAGCATAAGGAATAAGGTTGAGTTGTCAGATTTGTTTTCTAAACAACTAAATAAAGGAATGCTGCTATTCTTACCTAGCGAGGCCAGATTCCGGAAGTTCTCCAGCATCACCTCTCTGTAGAGGCTCCTCTGAGCACGATCCAGCAAAGCCCACTCCTCCTGGCTGAAGTCCACAGCAACATCCTCAAAGACCACTGAGTCCTGAAACATTCCACATATTCTGATCAGAAAGATATCAACTCCCCAAATGTGTTCAGGAGGATGGATGATGCTGACAATACAGGGGAAAGGAACCGAGAATCCAGTCATGGGAAGTTCTAAAGATTTTATGGTCTCCTACCATCAACCCCTGGACTCAGCCATCAGATCTTTCTCCCCACACATCCTTCCTAACTGATAAAATCCTGTCTCCCAGACTGGATGAAACTTCAAAAACACTCAATTTATCTCTCCATGGTTCAATGGTAAACAATTCCAGTCTTATAATGATCCAGACCAGTCCAGGGCATAAAACAAAAATGAGATAACTGGTCTAAAAATTAAATACAGCAGGTCCTCAAATGACTTCATTTTGTTATAATGATGAGGAGATGTTGTGAGAACTTAACTCATCTATATCAATCTATGGTGAAACTGGTTTCCATATCCATTGTTTTGCTTTAAGTTGCAGAACCTACCAATAATGTTAAGTGAGAAACAATTTCACCTGCTTCCTTCTCTCCCACTATAGCAATCAGCACAACATGAAACCAAGGGTCAAATCCGGATGAGGTTTTAATGAATAAAAATGCACTGAGAGAAAGGGAGCTTTCCATTTTTTTCATAAACCAGAGAGGCCCAGAAGCCTGCAGACAGCACAACTTTTCAACCCAGGCGCCCAGGTGGCCATATTTTCTTAGACTCTAGGCCACTGCTAAATCCAGCCTACCACCTGTTTGTGTAAGTAAAGTTTTACTGGAACACAATCAAACATGTTTATATGATGTCTATGGCTGCTATCACACTACAGTGACAGAATTTAGTTCCAACAGAAACTCAGGCCTTCAAAGCCTAACATACTATGTGGCCCAACAAAGAAACAGGTTGCTAATCCCTGCTCTAAACAATCAGACCGATGAACTGGTGAAATGGGAATATTCTTTTGGAGAATTATTAGCTCTTACCTACCTGTGTCATGTTTTTCTGTAACTCAGCAGCTCTTCTTTCTTCGTCCATTCATGAAGAAAGGCAGACTACTGAGAAGTTACCACTGAGGCAGGAGAAAAAAGACATCATAATTTAGATCTCCCCACAATTTGCACAGTCATGAGCTTGGATGCTGCAGCACATTATGAGTTACCATTCCCCCCAAAACACACACACACACAATACCCACACGTGCACATGCATACACCCAAGACACCCAAGCACACACACGCCGATCTTGTAAGAAAGTGGAGCAATCTTACCCTGTGTAGAACTAGATAGAAACTATGCTTTGGTTCTTGTTGGCCTTTTTTAAAATAAACAGTTAATAGTCCCATTTTTCAAGTAAGTTAACTGAACTCTAAAAGCTTAGCTAATATTGAAATCAATTTGCCCAAGATAATGAAAAGCATAAAAAGTTCCAGGCAATACCTTCAACCTCAAGAATATACACTCTGTCTCAAATCCAAGAAAGCACTGACTAATACTGTATACCAGACTTCTGGGTGCTCCGTTCCCAATATTCCTTACTTCTGCACCCTTGGCAAGCTAACAGGCATTACTGCTCAGCCCCTGATCACCGGACCTTCCCACCATGGGCTGCAGGATCCCAGAAACCTGGTTTATGAGAGAATCAACTAACTAAATTCCACACACAGGAAGCAGAGAAGACTACCATGCTATAATCCTCATGCTAAATGCTGCCTGTACAGAAGCAGCAGAAATATAATACTTAGGTGAAGTTAGCAATGTGTCATCTCTGATAGTAATATCTACAGTGCTGTTGCACAAATTTCAAATAATGAAAACAACTGTTTCTTCCACTGCAGTGGATCAAGTGTGCATTTTAAAGCCAATAAAAACTGAATAGTCAACCATAGTTTTTACTATATTAATAATATGTTCCATGTGAGTAACCATGATGTGAGAATGACTTTGCAAAGAGATGCCCACAGCTTTGCAAAGAAATTATTTATATTTGATAGAAACTCTGCAAATCAGGTATCATTACAACTAATTTATAGTGGAGAAATCTTAGAGTCAATTAACCACTCACTCAATGTTACCCAATTAGAAAGCTGCTCTCTCAGGCTGTGTGTGCAGGTCTATTTACCTCAAGTCCAAATGGCCAATGAGTATATTTCTGAACGTCTACCTTACAACCTAGTTGTTAGTGAGGCCCTTATTCCCTAACATTACCAGGGCCTGGCCTAGAACCCTGTTGGACACACTGTGCAGAGTAGACAAATGAAGTCGTCCATTCAAAGGTTTTATCTTTGAGCTCCTTCTCTTGACTAAGACCTATGGCATCTTGAGCAAGGATGCTTCTCTTAAGGCCCCTACTGCCTGCGCCTTCATTGCATATTTATTTACGTAGTATTTCCCCTGGTCCTACGACATGCAGTCACAGGAGATGCAGCACTGAACAAAACAGAAAAATACTGAAGCACATGGACTTCATAACTTTTTTAAGGGAGGGCAGTAAATTAACAAAATATCAAGTGGTGGTATATGCTATACAAAATGCAGCGCATGATAGGAATAAGGAGATGCACACTTATCTCTAGTGAGTCAGGACTACTCATATGGCAGGATAGAAGCATAAAATTAAAATAACCGTTTCAGATAACAATAGGAAGCCATAGCTGGTGTGGTATATATACTAGTATTTATATACTTATAAATACCATCAATTCTCAGAGGAGAAAAAATCAGTATCAATGGGCTAACTACTGACTTATAAGGTTGGGAAAAGAATAGCATAAAGAATTAGAAAGAAAAGTGAAAACAAGGCATAATTAATGATGCTTAAAAAAACTAATAAACAGAGTCAGAAAAGGTAGCAATGTGTCCTTTGAAAACTAATGAAGTCGACAAACCCATGGCAATTTTAAAAACAACAGAGCACAGATAAAGGAAGTTATGAATGAGTTATGATCACAGATGTTACCAGGGAGACTACAACAAAAAAACTAAGGGAACTGATATGAAAATGTACAGGTAATGAATAAATTTTGAGAGAGAGAGAAATACAATTTTCCAGCAATGATTTAAAATAAATACAGAACTTGATTATATCCAGTCATTAAAGAAAAAAATCTCCAATTTAAAACATACCTACGTAAGAAACAAAAGTTACAAATTGTTTTACCAACAGGCTCAACAAATAAGTAAAATATTCAAAATCCCATTTTTTTTGGGGGGGGGGGGCTATTTTCTCAGTATGCAGGACCAGAAAAATACTACCAAAAAAAAAAAGATATCATACACATTAGTGTAAATAATATATTAGTATAATCAAGAAATGAAAAATAGCCCTAACAGGTTTGGCTCAGTGGCTAGCAGCCGTGGGCAAACTACGGCCCGCGGGCCGGATCCGGCCCGTTTGAAATGAATAAAACTAAAAAAAAGACCGTACCCTTTTATGTAATGATGTTTACTCTGAATTTATATTAGTTCACACAAACACTCCATCCATGCTTTTGTTCCAGCCCTCCGGTCCAGTTTAAGAACCCATTGTGGCCCTCGAGTCAAAAAGTTTGCCCACCCCTGGCTAGAGTCGGCCTGCAGACTGAAGGGTCCCAGGTTTGATTCTGGTCAAGGGCATGTACCTTGGTTGCAGGCAAATCCCCAGTAGGGAGTGTGCAAGAGGCAGCTGATCGGTGTTTCTCTCATCGATGTTTCTAGCTCTCTATCCGTCTCCCTTCCTTTCTGTAAAAAAATCAATAAAATATATTTTTTTAAAGAAATGAAAACTAAAGATATTAATCACAAACCAAGTTCGTTTCATCCTAAGAATAAAATGTGGTTGAAAATGGAATCATCGCCGAACCGGTTTGGCTCAGTGGATAGAGCGTCGGCCTGCGGACTCAAGGGTCCCGGGTTCGATTCCGGTCAAGGGCATGTACCTTGGTTGCGGGCGCATCCCCACTGGGGGGTGTGCAAGAAGCAGCTGATCGATGTCTCTCTCTCATCAATGTTTCTAGCTCTCTATCCCTCTCCCTTCTTCTCTGTAAAAAATCAATAAAATATATTTAAAAAAAATGGAATCATCAATAGAATTCACCACATTAACAGGAAAACATCATACAGTTTGTATTACTAGATAAACTAGTGACTGATCTATATTAATGTTGATGATGTGGGTGATGACAACTTAACCCACCAGAACTAGAAGGGAACACGTTTTACTGGGGGGAAAAAATCCACAAATACCTCCAGTAAACACCCTACTTAAGGGCAGAATCATCCCCTCTGGGGTCAGAAACAACGAAAGGATGCAAATTCCATGCTCTTTTACACTGAACCGGAGGGAGGTCCTGGCACCACAATAAAGTAAAGAAATACAAGGTGCAAGGGGAGGGGCGGGGGCTGAAACTGACAGCTGATCACACTGTGTGTGAAATTCAAAAAATCTACAGATGATTGAAATGTGTAGCGGCGTTTGGCGCGGAGGTTCTGGGTATTGAACCCTCGGTTCTCGGTTATGCGCCTGAACCCGAGGCAGCTACGCTCGCTCCGGCGGCACCTGGGTCACGTGTGGCGGCGCCCGCGGGCGGGTCAGCTTAAGGGCAGCGGCACCAATCGCGCCAGGAGGGAGGCGGGGGACGGGTGGGGGCAAATGTCAGCCGCGCTCACCACACTCGCCGCCGGAATCCACCGATCAGCGCGGAGACGACGAGGTGAGGCTCCGTCCCGGGACCCGAATGGCAGGGACGCTGTTCCTTTAGGAGAGAGCCCAGGGCGCTTTGGGGGAGAATCAGATGAGAAGGTGATTCTCCGATCCACTCCGCTCCCTCCGCCGGCTGGACCCAGCCCGAGTTCCCGATTCCGAGAGTCGGGGACGCGCCACCCGCCGCGAGCGGGGCGGGCCGGGCTCGGGAAACGCGCGGCGAGGGGAGGGCCGGGCGCGGGGTCCCGGCGGCAGCCACGCTGTGATCGCCCGCCTCCCCGAGGCCGAGCTCTCCGCTCCCAACGCTGGGGACCTGGGGCAGGCCGGACCGAGGCCGCGGAGGCTGAGGACCCGGTGAAAATGGACCGAGGCCGCCGGGACGGTGCGGGGAGGCGAATCCGGCCGCTCGCGCGCGCACGCGCAAAAACCCACATTTGCTTCCGGATTTTGCGCGGCGCCCAGCGGGAGAGGCGGGGGCTCCGGAGCTGGGAAATGGGGAGGGACCGGGAGGGCTGGGGAGGGGGCGGTGGTGCTTCCAGCTGTGAGCGGCGAACTGCCAATTTCCTCCCAGAAGAGACCTGGTTGGGTCCTGGGACCGGATCAGCGCAGGAGTTGGGGTTGGGGGGAGTTGGGGTTGGCTGTCGGTGGGGCGGGACCAAGTCGGTGGGGCGGGACCAGGTTGGTGGGGCGGGACCAAGTCAATAGGGCGAGACCAGGTCAGTGGGGCGGGGCCAGGTCAGTGGGGCGGGGCCAGGTCAGTGGGGCGGGACCAGGTCAGTGAGGCGGGCTTAGTTGGCTACCCCTGTGGGGCGGGACTTAGTTGAATATTCCAAGAGGCGGGGCTTACGGTGGGGCCAGGTCAAGGGGCGGGGCCAGGTCAAGGGGCGGGGCTTAGTTGAATATTCCGAGAGGCGGGGCCTATACCGACCCACGAGACCTCCCTTCCACCCAGTCAGTCCTTTCATTAGAATGTGCCAACCTCTGCAACACTCCCGTCCCCTTTTTTAAAAATGGGAGTGGATATCGTTTTGTAAAAAACTTAAGCTCTATAAATTGTAGTGTGTGTCCGCATTTCCTGTGGCCCCCAGCCCTGATGCTGCTCTGGCCTTTTACCTCTAAAATCAGCACACTTCACGGTAGGAGGACTCTGTTCAACCTCCTCTAGTATTCCTTTCCATTTGTTTTCCCAATACCTTTTTTCGTTCACATGGCAAAACAACACACAAGCATTCATGCTTCCGGTGCTCACTAAAGGCCCTTGTACTTCCTTCCGGTTCTCAGTCATAACTGTCACCCACCCCTTGCAGGCCAGGGACCCAGCATCGCCGTTCTGCCCAGTGTAGCTCGAACCAACAGAACAAAACTGGGTTTGGTAAAGCAGATCAGAAAGTTTTTTTCTTTGGCCAAGGAATGGAGAAGGAGCTAAAGCTCTAAAAAATCCCGTCTGCCTGATTCTGGGGAGGGGGTATCAATTCAATTATTTGATCAGCCCTAACAACTACATTGTATTATGCTAAGCGAAATAAGCCAGTCAGAGAAAGATAAGTGTCACATGATCTCACTCATAGTGGAATCTAATGAACAACATAAACTGATGAACAAAATAGATCCGGAGACATAGAACCATGGAACTGACTGAGGAATTTCAGAGGGAGGCCCTACTGGGGAGGTGGTGGTGGTAGTAAGGGAGGGGATTAACCGGGAAACATGCATATATGCATAGCCCATGGACACAGACAACAGTGTGGTGAAAGCCTGGGAGGGGCGGGTGCCAGATGGAGCCAGATGGAGGGGGTCAATGGTGAAAAAAAGCAAAGGGACATGTGTAATAGTATGAACAATAAAGACAAATTTTAAAAAAAATAAACTACATTGAAAAGCTGAATCACCAACAGTGAATTTATGAAAAGGGCATGTAGTTATGCAGTGGTTGTATCCATCATCTCCATGGGGAAAGTTTAGCAACAATGGTGCCAACAGGAGTAAGATGCATTTAAGTGTGCAGCAAAATGTGACATCGATAAAGACGAAATGGTACTTTAAGGGAAATAATCAGGCGGGTCCCTGGGAAGAGGACCTTCAGCTAAAGGAACTGAAGACTCCCTCCCTGTCTAGGACCCTTGCTTTTATTAACACAATTTGTCCTAAGGCAAGGTGGAGGTAATACACTTCAAAGGGTAAGGTTTCAAAGGGTACAGAAGCATTGTCAGAATGGGGGAATTAGCCTAAGGCTGTCCAGGTGTTTGGCCAGTAGGAGGCAATAACATGTAGATTAAGATGCCCTTTAACTGTCTGGCAGCCACAATCAGTTTCCTATTCAGGTTTGGGGAAATGCTGTCAGCCATTCCCAACAGGTGACTACAGGTGTGACTCAACCCTGTTGAGTCCCCAAGTCTCATCAACCTTTTGATGAAACTCTTGAAATTATGACATGCTGGAATTGGTCTATGGCATGCATGCACCGGGTTGCGATCCTTTCTTCTCCCGCCACCCCTAGTAAATTTTTAGTGATGACCATTAGCGATGTTACTTTTTGGTCTACAGAACAATTGTTTTTCCCGTAAGACGTGCAAGAGGTAGGGGCCAGGGAAGAAAATAAACCACCACAGTCCTTGGCCACTGCCGCACCTTTCTTTCTTTTAATATATTTTATTGATTTTTCACAGAGAGGAAGGGAGAGGGATAGAGAGTTGGAAACATCGATGAGAGAGAAACGTCGATCAGCTGCTGCCTCCTGCACACCCCCTACTGGGGATGTGCCCGCAACCAAGGTACATGCCCTTGACTGGATCGACCTGGAACCTTTCAGTCCGCAGGCCGACTCCAACCACTGAGCCAACCGGTGGGGCACACAGCCACCGCTTTCATGTCAATCACCTGGCAGC